TAATCTGAGTACCATATATTTACGTTACGTGTATTTTCTTTTATTTTGAACCACAGACATTGTGTGATTTTTATATTGAATTTTTATTTTATATTTCTTTTGGAGAAATTGTTCCAAATTCAATTTGATTCGATATAGATACAACATATGAATGTTACGTATACTGTATGGAACGTATACGAGGAATTTATATTAATTCCCTAGTGTATTCTAGGGTTACTTTACCTTTTACTTATTGTGTGTGTGTGCATGTTCCTGCTTGACACCTGAAAACTAGTATATCGGACAAAGGTACTATTGCAGGCCTTTTTTTTTAAGTTTCCCACATGTTTCAGTATGTATCATAAATACGTTGCGATTTTAAGAACACAATATTAATAGACCAGTTATAAACTACTATTGTCAAAACATTTTGTGCTAGACAATACAGTTTTGTCTAGCTCGTTTTATTTTAATACCCCTTACCGAGTATAAATTCTACCGCCTACGCAGCAAATTTGTCTTTCTTCCAGTCATAATAAACTAAGTTTTTTTTAGCAATACTCGTGTACAATAACGGTGTTTAATACTGAAAGTGGAACGACTACGCGTATTTACCACCTATACGCGGGGACGATGTGATCCAGATTTGTCCTTACATTTCATTTTTTACAACATTCTGCAATATCAATGACTATCTAACTTGTTGGAGTTTATTAAGATTAAATCAATACCTACGAGTATATGCTTTGTTACCGATTTTAAAGATAAATGTTTAGTCATAAATAAATCATAATAATAAGAGTTGTAGTTACCTGGCTGCCTTGAGAGTATAGAATTACCTGTTCTACGATGGTACCCCAATAAATTTCATGATTCCCTAATATCATATATACTCTTCGTCATCTTACATCTCCGGGGAAATGTTGTATGTCTTGTAACCCACTACTTTACACAATATATAGCTGTCTAATTATTATTTAATTTAACGGTCAATTTGTATTAGAACTACAGCTAATTTAAAAACTATATTTTTGAAGACTCTCCTAAGTGATTTAACATATATATGATAGCAATGCTGACGATGGATTAAAAGGTAAATTTGTATTATTATACTAGCCTGTGACTTCGTTTCGTGAAATTAAACTTTTTTTATTAATATATCATAATATAATCCTTTAAACATTAGGTATCTGCGAGTAAAAGTCCCTTTATCGGATTTATCGGTCAAGCCCTTTCAGAGATTAGCAAGAACTAACTGACAGACATAATGGTGTATAAATATTACCGTATATATATTCATATATATTTAGTCAAAACTTGTTAATTTGAAATTACAAACAGACACTTGAATTTCCTTTGTATTACCTTGTAAACTTTTATAGATATTATGAGATTTATAAACTATATATATCATAATATACAGCCATTAAAGGATAAGATATTGCTACTTTCTCTTGAGCTTTAAATAATGTAACAATAGCCAAAACCATTTATATACATTTGGTAGCTATTATTGAGAATTTTGATAATAGATTTCTAATACCTACTCGCGTTCATCTCCCAGCAATAAATAAATCACTTACTTATCTTGGCGTGCACTTATTTTTTACACAAAAGCAATAAAAGAGCGTGCTAGGAGAATGAAAAATGAAGTTTTCGTGACTTAGCTGCCAGGACTGAAGGGATAAAGGAGCGCTAAAATGAATGCCGTCACGCACGGAAGATCTTCTACTTTTATCATAACCACATAAATACAACATTGTTATAAAATTTTATAGTAAAAAAAATGCGAATTCATGTATTTACACCAGAAACTCTTAAGCATGGGACATGCCCCCTTGAAGGGGGCGTAAATAGATATCAAGGGGAGTGTAATGCGTTTGAAATTTCTGAAGAAAAATTAACTCACTGAGTAAATTAGATTATACTATAATTTATACAAATTAGATAGATGTATTGTTTTAATTTGCCCGTGATAGATGATCTGGTTACTTTCTATGTATAAGAGAAATAATTCCTAGATCGAATACCTAAGTATTTTTTTAAATTATCTATTCATATAAAAATTATAACTAAAGGGTTAAATTTTGTAACTTTCAATAAAGAAAAATGTAATATAATATTGATAATCATATTATAGGGATATCAACAAATAATCACAAAAAAACAATCCTTGTAATCCATCGCGATACATCGAGGGAACATACCCAAGATACTGGTAGCGTACCTCTTTGCTTCACCATACTTTCCTCTAGGCAAAGTAGTAACTTTAAATACTTAAGTAAATATATTTATCTAATAATATCATAACAGAAGGCAGTGAATTTAATTCCTCTTCTTCCTTTCCTTTAATACTACTGAATTGCGTTGAAACGTAATAAATATAACTCTTTCCTCTTGGCTGTATATTAAACTATAGACGCGTCATTACATCTTACCATTTACTTTTATTGCCTCATTTTCTGCCACCCAACTCACTTCGTAAGCTAATTATATCATTATACTTCGTAACAAGCCACTTTCGCACTTATTCCGCGGATACACACACAGACAAATTATACAGTCATCTACATATTCCTGAGATACGCAAAATTAGTGAAACATAAAATGGTCTTATTCAACCTCCAGGATGACTCTATGCCAGAGATCTATATCACGGATAAAATGTAAGGAAATCGAAGTGACTGATGATTTTTCTATGCAACGGACAACGTTATAATTTTAATTTTCATACTGCTTTCTTGATATATGATAGCGTAGCGGCTTTTGTATTGATTGCCGCATGCATCCTTATGTAAAGTGCGAATACTGTAACTACCATATAGTAATTTTTGTAGCTGTGACGTGGTCGTGTGGAATGAGTAGTCATGCTCACTAAAATGTCCAGACATGTGGCGGCGTGGTGGGCCGGGTTAATGGGCTCCCTAAAATATGGTCGAGCGCAGTGATGGCTGGCTCATCCGTCATACTCGTGAACGAGTACTGCTTGTAGGGACTGGTCTGCTCTTATCACTACGACTAATTTAATCTTATTGCATATTTATATTTGACCCAAAAATTAGTGCTTGTTGGTAGTTTGTATTCACACGTTTCGACTTGTAAATGTAAACTTACAAGGATTATTTAAAAGAGCAACACACAAGTTTCTTGCTCGTTCTTCTTGTGATGAGACAGCTTTCCGAACGAGTGGTAGATAAAAAACAAATTGTTATGACTATTCAAAAGTGCTTAAATTAAGTTTATTTGAATAAATGATTTTCTATTCTATTCTATTCTACTGGAATGGCGAACGAGCTGCCCACTCACCTTATGGAAAGTGGCAACCGTCATGGATAAGCCAGGTATGCATATGAATAGCTTGCGTTGTCATTTCGGAGAACTAAAATATAAAGAAATTCTCTACCTTATCCTAGCCTTCAAACCGAACACAACTTAAGCAAATAAATAAAAAACATTAAATATAAAGACTGCTTAACGGGTGAAATGTACGCAGACAACTTTTACAAATACCTCGATGAAATATTGCAGGTAAGTGTTAATCAAGTAATATAGTAATTTAAAGTTTGAAATTATATTATTAATGTTTATTTGTATTAATATATGTATATTAATACAAATAAACATTAATAATATAATTTCAAACTTTAACAAGTACAACAAGTATGTACTTGCAAAGGAAACTTAATTTCCTTAGCAAGGAAAACTTAGGAAACTTGTCATTGTGAAATTACAGAGTTATCTCTGTAATTTTACAATGACAAGTGTTGAAAATATATTCCATCCACGAGAAAGAATGCAAGTAGTTATTGATAAAATATTTTGGGATCATTTGAACTATACATACCTAATTCTGTGTAAGTATGTCATACGAAAGCGTCACGCACGAAGTAGCTAAAGTAATTTTTTACTATATTTTTATATTATTAGAAAAAGCAAAGAAACGCGATTTTGTATATATATGTACCTATGTATACTAGCTGACACCGTAAACGTTCTTCATTGTTTTAGCATATAAATTAAATTAAATTTAAAAAGAGGAGTTTGTAATAGAATGATGAAAATTTAGGGTCATATGAATTTTTTAATGACACATTATAAAAAAGTGTCCAAAAAATGAATAAAATATATTAGGAGTGGACAACCCTTATCACTTAGGGGTATGAAAAATAGATAGTAGCCGATTCTCAGACCTACTGAATCGTAAAATTCATATAAAAATCGGTCAAGCCATTTCGTATTGTAACTGACATTGTGACACGAGAATATTATATATAATAAATAAAAAATAACTATATATATTAAATAAAATTATAATATATTTTAACTATTAACATTATTTATATATAATACTGTCGCTACTGTTATCCCCGAGGAGTAGTCAGAGTCATTACCAATTGTCGACGTCCACCTGACATGGTGCGTAACATAAAAGAAATTGGGTCGCTAGTCCTCATTCATCTTCATCTATCATCCTCTATTGGTGGGCCACCAAGATAAATTCATAACTCAAAGGAAGCCCCATTCCATCATCAACCATAAAATAACTATTATAAAGCGCAATTTATTTTAAATTAAACTGTTATGACATTTGAACTGTAGCCTCTTTGAGAAACTGTAACATTTGCAGGTCGTCGAGTGATAAAACTTTAATAAAAACAATCTAAATGCAGTACCCGCCGTTCTTGCAGGTTGTCCGTGACTGCAAATTACTTGTTATTTACTTATTAGGTAAAGGAAAAGTTAAATGAACGTAGGATTGCTTTGTTTGTTTGTAACTAGTCAAAATATACTTAAGTTTAAGTTTAACAGTTTAAAAATAAATTGAATCTAAGTTTTTTTATAATTGGCGTTTATATCGTATAAATCCCCCTGAAGATTGATCTCCGTATATTTTATCAAATATTTGATATTGATATAATATCCTAAACTCTTGTCGTCTAAAAAATAATAGTTTTAATAAATATACCAACTATTTCAAATTTATGTCACTACTTGACAAATATGTAATGTCATAAAAGGTTATTTTATGTGAAAATTATTATTTAAAATATTATATTTTCTTCATTTAAGTCTAATAATTGTTTTAAGTTAGATTTATATTTGACAATGTCTTTTCTCACTGGTTTACAACTACCAAAAGGACAGCGTAAGAACATTTTTATTTGAATAGCAACACCGTAATATAATCTTAACATAACTTGATATTTCTATGAAAATTGAATGTGATAGCATCCAAAAAAAATTACGAACTACAACAGAGAGAAATATGTAGCATTTTCCCAAAAGAATTTTCTGAAAGCATTTACATATTCACCTTTTATTTGGTTTCATTTGTCAACTGTCTGGCCCATCATGACTGTAGGTAATATTTGCTGCAATTTATCAAGTTATAGGGTTCCTTACTACATTACTGAAACTTAGACACTTTTAGTATAAATTAGTTACGCGATTTTATCGCAACTAAGGTTAACTTCTAGTATGAGTTGTATGTACCTATCCATTCTTTATGGATGAATGGGAAATAGTTTACCAACCTGCACTAACATTATATACTGGGAGGGCACCAGTTAAAGAGGATATGTTGAGGATGAAGTCAGTTTAGATCGTCAATAAAACAATAATAAAATACTGGCTCGTAGAGAATGCTAACAGAATGAATTTCTACTTTTGTAACAATTCAATGACTCTTGTATGGTAAAGTAACGATTGATCTAATAGTATGTTGTAACTGTTACCAATATATATGAACAGTACTATATCACGGTATAATATGACGGCCGTAAAGCCGCGCCGTGATGCTTATGCCAATCCGGAGTACAACAGTGATATATCACTGCCTTATCTCACCCCAAAACTGAAACACAGGACAAAAATCTTGCTGTTTGGCGGCTCAAATATGTAGACAAATTTACCTATGCAGACGACTTTTCATAAAAAGTCTACCTCGTAATGTTTCAAACATTCAATATATAAATAATAAGATAAAATATAATAGAAAATATTGGTCAACCCCGACGATTTATCTCAGTTCTCTTTTCTTGTAAGTTTCGTATCATAAAAATGTTGTATTAATAAAAGTCCTGTTCAACAGTTTTGCTGTAAGTTTCGTATAATTATATTTACATCATTACTTATGGGTATGTTAGTTTGATTACTTGTATTGTATATTGTGTAAGCAACATGAAAAATTATACCGTTTAAATCTGTTTAATCCGTTTTAGGCTGTGTAAAAATGTTAATATAAATAACAAATACCACGCGGACAAAGTCGGGAGCATCAGCCAGTAGTAATATAAATTTTAAAATACTACGGAATCGTATTGTGTTAATATTTTTTTTAACATGCTCATTGGTATTAATATACCTGCAAAGGAAACTACGCTTGGAGCCATGTTTATATATTTTATGTATTTTCCCCAGAGCTAAGATAGATGCTCCAAGTTAATAAAAGCATTTACTATATTGAATACCAAGCATCTACTTTTATTTATATTGGTAGTTTCGTATTTATTATTAACTAGCTGTACCCGCGACTTCGTCCGCGTAAAATAGTGAACTTGACTAAATAATGAAAAAAATATTTAATGATCTAACCCAATAAAAGCCTAATGAAAAAGTTTCATCATTTCATCTTCAAAAATGATACTTCCATACATAACTAACATAAATAACTCTTTCAACCCCTTATAACTTCTTTTCTTAATATATATTTAATAAATAGGCTAAAAATTAAACTTCAAGCTTCTAGCTTTAAAAACGACAATATTGTATGTAAACATTTGACTCTCTTTTAAATTCCTTACAACCCATTTTTCTTTATTTATATTTAATCAACAGCCTAAAAATCAGTTTCAGGCTTTGAAAATGGCGATATATCTATACAACCTTGCACCTTTCAATCCCCTTACAACCCTTTTCCACATTAAAAAATACCCTATATCCATTCTCAGGGTCTTCTAGATTATATGTTCTAAATTTCATTTAAATCGGTTCAGTAGTTTTGGCATGTAAGAGAGATCGAGAGTTATAATATTAGTGAGGTGTTAATAAATAAACCCAAAAAAGCCAATGAAAACAGTTTCATCATTCTAGCTTAAAAAGTCATGAATTTACATAAAAATTTTGATCCCCTATTTTATTGTACCCCCTTAAGGGTAAAATTATTATAAACTATGAATCATCATCTCATCATCTTATATTTTAGGTTGGTCAATCATCACCAACCTAAAATATAAGTTTCAAGCTTCTAGCTTTAAAAATGACGATTCTTACGTACAACCGTGTTTTTTTAACGTAAGAAAAAAATCTTCATAGAGGCCCACCGGCTTAGGGGCCAAATGGGGACTGCCGGATTCATATCGGCCAAAAACCTGACGACTATTCCTCCTCGAACATGTCGCCGTAGCTATAGGATCGCATATGCATTCTCCAAGACTACCCGCAGGGTTCCCATTGAAGGGACCTTTCATCTAGGCGTGCAGGGAATAGCCTCTGCACGCCACCGTAATGCCTCCCTTGTGAGCTTCGGATCGCCCTAACAATCCTCCACCCTAGGGTCAAATATGGATTCGATGGCCACGCTGATAGACTCAGGTGTCCATCGAATCCTCCCCTCCCGCCGGTGACCTGCGCTGCGGCCGCGGCCCTGGCCTTGGCAAGCGACACAATTTTGTGCTACCGACTCCATGGTCCGACTTGCGGTTAGCCGCAGCGCAGTACCAGCAACGTGGCGATGGCGCGACACATCTCGCGGTCTTGTGGCCGCCCTGACCACAGCGATAGCACCTATCGCTGCAGTCTTCCCCTGCAGTGCACCGTTGGCCTACGTGCCCCGTGAGCAAGCACCTTACCTTAATCCGACCCGCCGGGATTAGGATTTAGGCTGCTGCAACCGGGCATCGCACCCAGTTTGAGCCCACGCCGGAGGGAGTGCACCGGACCTCGCCCGCCTGTATGCTTGTATCCGCGCATCCTCCCACTCGCGGCAACGACGTTCTCAGATGTTACCGAGTCGTCCAGGTCACATAGTCTCAGCTCAGCTGATTTCTCCGGCCTGGTGACCCGGACTTTTTCTACTGGCAAGATCACTAACCTTGCAGCTAGTGAGTTCGCTTTGTCGCCGGTATCGGCGCCTGGCACTTCTAGGATGCGACATCCAGTCACACCCAGCCGGAACCGTAGGTCGGGCAACCTCGTATGCATGGCATGTACCCTTTCAACCCCTTATAACCCTTCTATCGCATCCAAAAGTATCCTATGTGCTTTCTCAAGATCTAGACTAATTGTGTACCAAATTTCACTTAAATCTGTTCAGTAGTTTTGGCGTGTAAATGAGACTGACAGACAGACAGAATTACTTTTACAGTTATAATATTAGTAAGGTATTTAATAAACTAACTAAATTCAATAAAAAAGTTTCATAGATCTGGCTCCAATAATGGCGAATTTACCTAAAATCTTTCGTCCCCTATTTTACTTTACCCCCTTAAGGGTAATTTTATACAAATTTTGAATGTCACATTCATTTATATTTAATTAATCAACAGCTTCAAAAATAGGTTTCAAGCTCCTGGCTTCCAAAAAGACGAATTTACATAAAAACATTCATCCCCTATATTATTTAACCTCTTAAGGCTAACATTTTTATAAACTTTGATGGCTTATTCATTTATAGTTAATCAACAGCCTCAAAAATCAGTTTCAAGCTTCTAGCTTCAAAAATGACGAATTTACATTAAAATTTTCATCCCCTGTTTTATTTTACCCCCTTAAGGGTAACATTTTTACAAAATTTCATGGCTTATTCATTTATAGTTAATCAACAGCCTCAAAAATCAGTTTCAAGCTTCTAGCTTCAAAAATGACGAATTTACATAAAAACTTTCATCCCCTATTTTATTTTACCCCCTTAAGGTTAACATTTTTACAAAATTTCCAGGCTTATTTATTTATAGTCAATCAACAACCTCAAAAATCAGTTTCTAGCTTCAAAAATGACATATTTACATAAAAACTTTCATCCCCTATTTTATTTTACCCCTTAAGGGTAAGATTTTATACAAACTTAGTATGTTATATTTATTTATATTTAATCAACAGCCTCAAAAATAAGTTTCAATCTTCTAGCTTCAATAATAACGAATTTACATAAAAAAAATATCCCTAATTTATTTAACCCCCTTAAGGTTAAAATTTTTAAAAACTTTGTATATCATACTTATTTATATTTAATTAGCAGCCTCAAAAATAAGTTTCAAGCTTCTACCTTCAAAAATGACGATTCTTCCATATAATCTTTCATCCCCAATTTCAACCCCTTACAACCCTTTTTTCGCATTAAAAAGTAGCCTATGTCCTTTCTCAGGGTCTAGACTATCTGTGTACCAAATTTCATGTAAATCGGTTCAGTAGTTTTGGCGTGAAAGCGAGACAGACAGACAGACAGACAGACAGACAGACAGAGTTACTTTCGCATTTATAATATTAGTAAGGATTAGTAAGGATTTTTTGTCGCAGCACAAAAATATATTTTTATCGTTTCCGTACAAATAATAATTTTACAGTATTAATCTACAAACCAACATTTTGTTTCTTACAATCAGCTAAATAATTTAAATAGTTCCATAATATATGGCACAATGAAAAGGTCATTTATTTTATAAAAAAGACAGTTAGTTTTTATTTTAGTGAAAAATAAGAAAATTCTATTTTGATACAACAACCATATATTTATTAATACCTATACTTTATTAATTTTGTGTTAATGCTTTTTAAATAAACATCCACACATTATTTCTGTATAACCTACAAAAATGGGTAAATAATTTAATTTCGGATAGTGCCACACCACAACATTCTTTAAAAAATGTAAATAATAAAATTTGAAGAAATTGTGATTGTTATTAAGTTTTTTTTTTTAAGTTTGTCAGAACAGGGAAACAACATTTGACATTTATTATTATTTAACATTGGACATTGACTTTAATTTTTGTAATTTATATTGTAAAACTTTAAGTTGGGCTAAACTGGGCTTGTATCCAGAGCCGTATAACAAATTAATTAAAAAAATCGTCAAATTTGTCTCGCAATCGGCCAATTTCAGGTTTAAAGAAAAAACACATACACACGATATACGATTTTATCATAAAAAAGTGTCAAAAAACAATATTTTCACTAAACGTCAACGTCATGTTTCCGGCAAGATCTTTCGTTTTACATTATGTTATCTGTGGTTTTGTTCTCTGTGATGGATACCTTATTGGCGCAAATGCACGCGATGTGTTGATTGGTTGTTAGCTAGTGAAATGAAAAGATGGCGAATGGCGCAAACGCACGCGATGTGTTGATTGGTTGTTAGCTAGTGAAATGAAAAGATGACGAATAAGGATTCAACCGCATAAAGATAACCTTGTATTTCCATTTTGAACCCCTTACAACCCTTTTTACGCATTAAAAAGTAGCCTATGTCCTTCCTCTGCCTCTAGACTATCTGCGTACTAAATTTCATTTGAATCGGTTCAGTAGTTTTGGCGTGAAAGCGAGACAGACAGACAGACAGACAGACAGACAGACAGAGTTACTTTCGCATTTATAATATTAGTAAGGATTATAAAGTGTTTTAATTTTTTGTTCTTGTTTTTATTTGTACATATTATACACGAAATATGTCTACTATTTATCTTAGCTGGCTGTCTAATATTTATTTTATTATACATCCATCTTTTATCAACCCACGACCAGAACGAAACACGTAGTTGAAATACCAGGAACTCATGAAGACCTAGTATTATCACAGTAAATATTATTTTTATATACTGCGTATAATTAATTTAGTTACGCATGTACAAAATACTGCAACTTTATTAGTACCTGGCTGATTGGGGATTTCATGCATTGTATAGTGAGCTGAAAGATTCTTTTTAGGTGATGTTTAGGTTATGAAATAAAACTATGTTTAAAATTTTTGGTCGCTGAGTATAGTATAGAACTAAATTTAAATCTAGTCAGAAACCGTAAGTTGTCAAGGAGTATAGTCAGTCTGGTATCACATAAATACTCTAAAGAGAAACGGTTTCCTACGCCATTTCATGTCAATATATATATCAATATTTATTGAACAAATACATTTTTTCATTTTCAGTGACATTCGTGGAAAGGTGGCCTTTGATAAATCCGAATGAAGTAGCGTTCGTTTTGGCAACATACCTCCTTTTTGTTTTGAAGATTGGCCCAATAATAATGGAGAGCCGAACAGCGTTCCGAATAAAAGGATTTCTCATTTTTTACAATGTGTTGAAGGTTATTAATTCAAGCATTTTAGCTTATAAGGTAATTTAGATAATTTTTTAATATGTTTATAAATTAATTTTGAGACTTATGATGTTATTTCAATTATTCCATCAGAGTTATATGTAAAGTATCTTACACGTCTAACCCAAACTGTTTAGTGGTAACTTCGCTTTCATAGTTTTGCTATGTTATTATTTCATTTATTAATAAAATAATGCTATAGAAATGTTTTTGATAGTATTTCCTAAGCTATCAAAACTTGAGTTAAACTACTTAGGCAATATTGTTAATCGAACCAATCATCTTCCATACAAATATGACAATACTTATTCAGTCATTCATAACTTAAGAGCCGTGCTCTTATCAGTCAATATCTTACTAATATGTGTAAATACTTAATTTTTCTAAAGATATTAAGAAACTAGCAGTTATAATCTTACATTAGCAACCGAACTGGGTCGAGTATATAATAGTTAGTGTACAACATATAAATTCAAAGTACATTATTAGATTGCGGGTTAATGGCATGCTGCGTTTACATACCCCTAGTATGCCCCATGGAAGTCTCCGCTGTTGTTACTACAACCATTTTATCTTATACATAACATAATAATTTTTATTCCAGTTTCTTTCATACGTCCTTAAGAATGGCTTATTTCCAAGGAAATGTGAACACGACAACCTAACGCTATATGTATGTATGACAATGATTATTTTTATTAGTTTATGATATGATAATATGTATAGAATTGGTTTTAAAAATCTTTGTAGATATAATATATTATCAGAAATATGCATTTAAGATTATCTATACACAAATAAAATTGGAGTGTCTGTTTGTAATATTGAAATAATTCTTTTTTACTATAATTGAATATAAATACGATACATACACCAAAATAACATTTTTTACAATTTTTGTCTGTCCGTCTGTCTATATGTTTGTTCCGGGTAATCTCTGAAATGGTTGGACCCAATTTGACGGCACTTTTTTGGCAGCTAGCTGATGTAATAAAGATCAACTTAGGATACTTTTATTTTAGAAAAAATCTTTTATTTTAGTTTAATTCCACGCGGATGAAGTTGCGGGAACAGCTAGTTACAACTATAGTTTGCTAGAAGCGATGATTACTTTCAGACTTGGTTCAAAAATTATTCCGATACACGACGGCAGGCTCAACCCCTGCCTTTATTGGATACCCAGGGACATGTGGGCTTATAAAATGTTACGTTAATGCTTCTAACTATGTCATCTGAGATAACAAATGTAATAAGAAATTATATTTATTATATGATATTTCCAAAAAAATTAAGCTAATTCAAACGCACCACCCAGTTCACCTAGTTCACCCAGTCGGAAATTGCGAATATTGACTTTTATTTACCTCCACATATTGCATAAAAACAATCGTAATATAAAGAACGTAAAATGAATACCTTTACATTTAAAATACTACAAAGACTATAAAATAGGACAAAGAATTTAAGTAAAATATCAATTATACATAATAGAAGAATATATATATCGTTTTCAGATAATTGCATCGTTATACTGGAAATACATGGTCACGAAATTTCTAGACTTGTTCGACACTGTATTCTTTATAATCCGAAAAAAATATAACCAGGTTACCTTCCTCCATATGTATCACCATGTATTCATGGTTGTCATCACGTGGTCATGCTTAAAATATGACCCATCAGATCACTGGGCCTTTATGGCGACCATCAACTGTTTTGTTCACACCATTATGTACACATATTATGGTATAGCCGCTTTAGGACCTAGTTATGCTAAGTATATCTGGTGGAAGAAATATTTAACATTGCTGCAATTGGTGAGTTTATTGTACAATTCTATATAGACAAAATTGTAACTGGCAGCCAATAAAAATGTGAGTGCTATGTCGGTAAAAGATAATAAAAAATAGTTTAAAAAAAGATCAAATTGGAAATTAACATTTCATTACGTAATAAAAATAATTTTAAATCAATCAGCCATCCCTCAAATCAAGGCTTTAACCTCATAATTATGAAAAGAATTAAGAAATTAAGAATATAGCTAACTATAATAAAAAAATTGCATATTCTTGGTATTAATAGGTACTAAAAATATGCTATTTTTTTTAATTGTGTTTTGGAAACATTTCATTACGTATGCTTTAAAAAGACTTAAAATTTTTACGGTAGACTGATACGCGCAATTTCATCTGCATCTTTTTCCCCGTTGTTTTGTTAATTTTTTGTTATTGCAACTCTTATTAATTCTCCATCTTGAGGTGTTCTGAGCACATAATGTTGTTGTTGCTCTTTGAAAACTTTGTAATTGGTGTATATTATAATATAATTTTTCTTTTTTCAGGTACAGTTTATACTAGTGATAGCACATCTATTAGTGCAAACCTATACATCAAAATGTCCAATGCTCGGCATTACTTACTGGATAGGCTTAGCTAACCTGTTTCTTTTTATTCTTCTTTTCACCGACTTTTACAATAAAAGGTATAGAGCTCGTTGTAACAAAAAACTTATTGAATTCATTTGCAGTAAACAAGTTAATTAAATAAAGTTATTGTCTTTCATTGGTATTTTGTACGTTGTTGTATGTAAAGTAAAGTAGTGTAACCTGCAGCTAAATATAGCGTTTAGACGATATACGAAGTATACTATCTATTTGGTGACAACTAATAGCAAAGGGCTAAAGTTTGTGCCCAGTGGCACACCTTTGAAAAGACCAGCTATGGCCAGCACTCGATTGCAGTAGATTAACAATGATAAAGAATCTTCAATGTCACTGTTAAGGAAACTTAGATAAACGCTTCAGAACCGTAATTAAATTACCATTATTTTTAAGTCTTGTATTTAAATATTATAAAGTACCGTATCGTGTAGGAGTTTAATTATAGCTCTTAAAAATAAATCTCCGCCTAGCCTCTTTAAACAACACTCGGATCTTAATATTAATTACAGTCTAATTGCAAGGTTAAGTATAATATTAATGTAATAAGTGTCTACAGTTTTTATCTCGATATGAAAACGTAGTTAGTCCCAGATGAAAACGCCAAGATGGACTAAGTGGTGTTATATTACAAGTTTATTCTTTTATTAGATTAACACCCATTAGACTTGAACTTAGGCTGTATTAAATCGTATTACGTGTATCAACGGCAATCACTATTACGACGGCCTGAAGCGGGGTACAAAATTCTAATGGGGGTACCAGACCTGTTTGATTTGCCTTCTACGCTCAATTCCATTTTTATCCGTTGAAACTGTAGACCTAGAATAAATAGCGTATGGACTCTAATTCTAAGTTCGAAATAAAGCAGTTTTACAATCGTACATATGTCATACGACGCATGGAAAGCATTTCGGAAACTTAATTTATTTTGATAAAGCTTAAAATGTTCGGAAATACTCTTTTAGGCAATCCCGGTATACCTACTCACCAAGTAAGCATCTTTACGTGGCACATAACTTGTTACAAGGCATTAAACTGTCACTACATCGGCGTTTGAAATGTTTAGACAGCCAAGTACTGGCTGGTCTATAGAACATATTAAATAAATACGGCTATGACAGATAAAGTAATGCCGGGAAGTAGCTAACTCATTCACTTTATTGAATTGAGAATTGAAAAGAATATTTACTGTTTGTAATGGACAACATGAAATTTTCAGTGTCGTAACGGAGGAAGAATAACAACACTGGTTTATATTCCAAAAAAGTATTTTATAGTACAAGACTTTTGTACTAATGAACCACCAAACTAAGAGTTGTAAAAAGATGAAAAGTTAACCACTAAAAATCTTTCCCTTCCATGAAACTGTGTAGTGTTTAAACCTTCAGTATATTTCTATACCCCGAGTACTTTATGGTATCGATAATAATACGGTGGTTAGTAGGTAATTATTATATTAATTAAGCTAGAATAAAGTCTTAAAACACATATATTTTGGAATTATACTCGTGGGAAGGCATCGATATTTTCAACACAGTTTCATACTTCTGTGAATGTCATTTCTTTATATATTTAGTAATACTGTATACTTGTTTCTATTTATAAAGTCTTTTAGTGTGAGAAGCATTTGAATTTTCACATCAATCCTTTTGTTCCTCATCAATTGAGTAGGGCTACTATTATATTGGACATGCTTTCACCGCTAGTTATTTCTGTAGGAAGAAGAAATTATTTTATTATTGTGTTTTAAGATGTATCATAAGCGCTGTCTAAAATATATTGATTGTTCTGGAAAGACGTAAAAAATCTTTTATTCTATTTTCCTTGTAAAAACTTTCAGTGTTTTGGTCGAACGGTCGAGATATGGCAGTGAAATTACTGGGTACAAGGCCTGATATCATAAAATAATAATGACATATATAATAAACTAAACCTGAACTCTACACTCCTATATCCTATGGTAATGTTTCAAATGACCGAAAACAATTATTAATTTTACTCCCATATAAACTTTCGCGTTATATCCAAACTAATTTCCTTTGGAAGCACTTCAGCAAAGGGTGTATTAGAAAATTGCTCAGTAACCTAAATACTCCCCATTTAATATCTGTTGTATGCTTATTGGATCTCGATTTCACGATATATGACGTAATAATCAACGGTATTGTACTTTAGGCCTTATTACCATGATATCACGTACTGATTGTTGTACAATCGGCAGTAAATCAGACCTTTTTGGAAGTCGCAACTTTTGCAATACATTATCGTGTGAATTTCTTCATTTTGGTCGAAATGACTGAACAAATACAAGTTTTTCGTATGAATTCGAGAATGTTTTTTCTACATTATCGATCAAAACTTAATCTGTAAATAAAAAAACAACTTCGTGTCAATAAATTATAGATTGAGATCCCTTCAAAAAACTAATTATATAAATACAATATATTGCATGTATTTAATATTTCAGAAAATTGCAATTATATTGAATAAATATTAAAGATAAAAGATAGAGTAAAAAACCATATCGTCTTTGCGAACATTTGATATTTCAGAAAAGAATTATGATAAACCGCTATTATGTAAAATTTCATTGTTACCATGAACTATGAAATATACATTGTATTTGATCGAGTAAATAAGTACATGATAAAACTTTGAGAAGATATTGAATTCGGTCTTCAAGACACTACTCAAACATCGATTATATATTAATAATTACTAATTAATGATAAATTTAAAGTTTTTTATTGAATATAATTTGATATAATTGCTACTACTACTACCAAATCATATATGGTTCGATATATATTTTTTATCTAACATAATTAAATAAAGTAATTATAACCTACTTAAATTAGACGAAAATACCTACTCGTGCTTTGAAAATTAATTGGGTTGCATACAATTTATAATATATTTATTACCCACAGGGATTACAAAATTTGTTATTTCATTCTCTAATTTCAGACTGGTTTTATTTTTATATATAAGATATGTATCAATAGTTTTGACTTTTCTCGAGTAATATAAAATTTTACATTATTTTATTTTAATATGGTAACTATAATATTAAGTTACAATTGTTTGTAATTTAAAAAAATCTTTATCGTCGATAAAAATTTAATATTGGTACCTATATCACGCGCATTTGCAACAATTCACAATTAATTTTGATTTCGATATTTTTAATATGTATATACTTTATTTATGTATAATTTATTTATTACATAAATAACGAATGTACTGATGATGCTAATTGTTATATAAATGTGTTGGCTTAGGACAATTTTATACCTATTTTGTTTAATGCTCTTTCTTTTCTGTCTAAAGATGAAATTACTCTTACGAAAGTGATATATTTCAATAACTTATATAATTTCAACCTTTAAGAATGAGCTGCTCTAAATTAAGATGACTCGGCATATTTAATTCTGATAATGTGAAAAATGATCTTGTAACTTTGTCTAAAAAATCTGAATAAAGAACGTAAGCGTATACAAAAAGAAGTATTAGCTACGTAAATATACAAATAATTTCAAGGATTACAAATTATTTATTATCTGTGAACTGTGACATTTTTTAAAAGCATGTGCCTACATATATCAAAATTATTCTTTTACCGACGATAAACAAAAAGGACCATTTTTTGTACCTCAAACAATTGTAACTGAAACGTAAATGGTTGCGTGAAAGCACTCATTACGTGAGAACACGCGAAATTGTATTTTTTGGTGAAAATGCGAGCAAATATAATGCGCTTACAAACGCGTGGCACCTAGTTGGGGACGGTTCAGAAATACCCACAGTATCCTGGGACTTTATTATCCTTTGTGCTCCGGCGTTTTTCCTCCCATTTTTATCATTTTGACGCCAATTTTGATAATATTTATAGATCTTTTATGCGGAACCTTTCATGCATTAAAAGTACGGCATTTCATGTCTTCTGATTTTATGATTATCTTACAATTTAACCCCACTAGGTACTAATAATATCGTAAATTTTTATGGTTATGTAGCATAATATATTACAACCATAAGTATTGATAAAGCCCTCATAAGGCGTTTAACAATCTAATCATTTTGCTTAATTTAGTTTACACCGGGTCTTACGCAGAAAAAAAACAAAATTTAAAACGCCTACCTCGGCCTCTATAACAAAAACAGAGAAATCCACTCCAGTTAACTTGTAACAAACAATAGTTACTTGTAGTAGGTATCACGAAATCTAAGACATGTAAAAAAAAAGTTATGCTAGATATTTATTTTCAGTTTTAGTACTCGTGGGAACCACAGAACGTGGTTAAATTTAGATTCACATTTTGTCAGTAAGATCAATGAAAAAACTGTATTTTTCGTAATTAAATGTACATTTAAATATAAAATTGACTCAGCAAACACATTATCATTTCTAAACAAGCAGAAATTCGAATAATTCGCCCATTTCATCGTGTCAATGGAATAAAATCGTGTGTGGCGAGGGTGCGTCGAGCAATAAAGAGGTCGTCAGTTCATATCTGTGAGTCTAAATGGGCTACTGAATGTGGTTTATTGTCAACTTGCTTATGTACATACATACATCTAACATGAGTCATTATATTTATTAACCAATTAAGTATGTACATAGTAATATATTATACCGTACGGCTAGCAGAGACATTTTGTTTCATATTTTAATTACAATTTATATAAGGTTCTAGCGTACAGATCAATTATTAAAGAACTTAAGTGAAGGAATTTTTCTTAAAAATTTTTATCTGTAATTACGCATGTCAAATATACGATTAAAAATGTATCTGCAATTTGAAATATTTATCGATAGCTTACATTGTGAATCTATGTACAAATATCAGAAGCGTTTACTTGACGTGACGTAACATGAACTAGTGAATGATACTTCAACAAAATCATAATTTTGAAACGGAATAATGTTACATTGGTGCATTATACCTTCAGAAATTTTTAGTTGACGTCGTTTTTATTTCAGTTTAATGGCTCTATATGCAATGAATTATGTATGCGTTTTGAGGATAGTCATGCACAAGGTGATTTCTTATGATAATAAACATGTTTTTACTAACTTCTTTGTTCTGTGTTTTGGCACC